TTGTGCCAAAAGAGGCTGTCGACACGACTTTGCGAAGCCCGGTGACATAATTTTCGTCATTAAACTGCGACAACCCGTGCCGACGTCGGCAGTTCGCAGKGAGTATGTTTTCAGCTTTAGCAAACACCCGGCAGAACTGCACACCTGTTGAGCTTGTAACACTACATCTCAGTCCAGTCCTATTTGAATTTTAAAAAATGTATAGTTTCTTCGCAAAAAGTAGCTTATCACTGAAGTATCTGTATGAGAGGATGACTAGAAGATATATTAGCAAGCTGAAATGTCTTGTAAGAGCCTCTGTGCTAGCTCCGGTTCTTCAGAAAATGTACTTTCCGGGTCTGACGTAGGATCATTCGAGTAAGATTCAACTGTATCCTGAGTTGCTATTTTCCAATAACGGTGCTTCTTTTGATTTCTTTTTTTATTAACAACAAAACAAAACGCTTGTATAAAAAGTTGTAAACGGCAATGGTAAGACGTGCTGAAGTGGGAGTGTCAGAAACAGCAAGTTCTAAAAGACAACGCCTTATTTCAAGGTGTTTAGATAGGCTATGATGCAAAGTCAAATTTATTCTTGACATAAAAAAACATTTTCATAACAACTCAAAGTAACATAATTACTTGATTATGAATAGTACAGAATTGCATTAAGCACCTAAAAAACWCATAATACCCCCACCCTTCCTCTTTAACATTTTAAAGAAATTTGTGACAAAATTTTCACCAAACAGTCACAAAGTGATCTGAATTACTTTTGACACCTGAATGAGATCTCTCCTTAGACAAAAACATCCAGACTTTTAACAATGAATGAGACATAATAGAATATTTCAAGACATGTAAATAAAATGTTTTTCAAACTAAGACAACACTGATGCAGAATGGATTAAAAGTATGTCCAAGCACCATTTGTGATCTTGACTAAACCTTTTTTTTTACAAACTGAGGGAGAAAAAAAGAACTAAGGGTTGGAGATTTCCTAAWTTGGTGGAACTTTTACCAGAAAATATTTGACAGATTTCTCAAGAAGGATTTGTTTATCTTAAACAAACTGATGCACTCTGTACTTTTTGACCTTTTAATACTTGCAGCAGCAATAACAACATCACAAAAAAGAAAAAAAAAGGTCTTTCAAGTCTGCGCTGAGGGGTGAATGACTTTTGCAGACATCCGGAGCAGCAACATCAACTTATCAATGGCTCTGTGCTCTGGAGACTCTAAAGTTGATTGTGCAAAGAAGTTGCAAAACCTAACAGACAACACAGAATACACCATCAAAGAAACTAAACAGCCAGATGGGTTCCAGCTTCGCCGCTACAACCACGTGCGCAGGTTTTAGCTGCTGTGCTAATTCCCGCGCATTTATATTTGCAGAATATTGATTAATGTGCATTGTCATTTTAAATAAATAAATGAAATGAAAGGTTATTAATGGCAACAGTCCCTACCGCACACACTTATTCTTTGTGAAATCTAAGAACATTTATGTTGTCTTTATGCTTGAATTATTAGAATTTCCTGTTTGAGAAAAATACAGTATAAATAAACTGAAAGCTCAAACGCACTTATGTAAAAAAGATAAGAACATGCCTATCATTTTTTGCAAACATATGACTTGAATGATGAGAATTGCTGTCTTTTCCCCCCTCTCCTCTCAATATTACCAGCCTCTACGGTTTTAAAAAGCTCTACGGCACTGATACGTTTAACCTCTCATCTTTTTATCCTAAAGTCACGAGAAAGAAAACCACTTACCATCCTGTAGCACTTCTTCATCTGATTTCTCCTTCTCTTTTGTGTATTCTAGTGTGTAAGTCAGTCCATTACAGCCACGTGTTCTCACGCCAACCTTCAAACCAATCTGTTGAYGAAAAGACAGAAAAATTTAAACATRTGCTTTTATTTTAAACTTKGTGACAACRTATACAGAGGACGAAAAATGATTAAAGAAATGCTAATACGTTAGCTGCATAAATATGGAAAATAACTATAATATTTGGTACAATTCTTTTAAAATATGACCACACCTGGTATTCTTTTTACTAAGCACACAAATTGGTTCTATTCATTTACAAAATATTAATACAAATAAAATGACATACATGTCAAATTTTAGTCCGGTTACACAACAATGTTTTTAAGTGAAAATGTCACTTATTTTGTTGTGTTTTGTCTGTTTTGTTGTGTTTTATCTGTTTGTGTATGTGTCATTTTCTCTGACTTAAGAAATCTGTGGCCTAAAAACACAAAAAAATTCTGGACAATAGAACAATAATTGTGTGATTTTTTTTTGCTATTTATATTTGCCATCTATAGTTTGTAAAGTAACTAGTGTGTGGAACTCTGTACTGATGCAACTTTGACACCTAAATTTCCCCTCGGCGGGACAATGAAAGCTATTTCTTTTCTATTCTGTTCTGTTCCTTTTGATATGACATATATAAATGTCCTGATGCATCTCAGTAATCCAGGTAAAAAAATCAAAAAGAAAAAATTGTATAGGTCTTCTGGACGGGTTCTTCT